TTATTGATTGATTTATTGATTGATTTATTGATTGATTTATTGACTTATATGTTGATTTATTTATTTATTTATTGACTTATGTGTTGATTTTATTTATTTATTTATTGACTGATGTGTTGATTTATTTATTTATTTATTGTTTTATTTATCGATTCATTTATTGATTTATTTACAAACGGGTTAGAATTCTATTCAAAGCATTAAATTAAATGTCTTAGGCGAAGATCGAGATGTACTTAAATAGAACTACAATAAAATATCAGGACAGCTGTAGATCATAAAGTACTTTCTCGCGTAACGTGGATTGTTTTGCAACGACACCGGAGATTTGATTCGTGTCAATCACAATATATCTGCCAGAGCAGTTGTCATCCTCGCATCATTGTTTCATTTCCAGCAACACGCGCATAAATCTATGTCACTGTCTTCGCGAAAATGAAGAGGCATGTTTCTCGTTCATTACAGAATCGAGATATTCAACAGTGTCATCAAGTTTAAAGAGCTATACTTTTATATTGCACCGTGAAAATCATTCTTCTGTATCGACGAGGAATTTTGGTATTTTAAGAATTAGGAAACATTTCGCTGTTCTAATTCAATATTTAGACATTTGAAAAAAATGTGACTTGGAGATATTCTAATACATATGTATCGTATGAAATAGTATTATCTGGATAATGCAATACTGACATATCTTTAAATGTATAAGGCAGAAGTATCAATCACTACATCCCACTGTTCCATTTCTATGTTCTTTGTGTGTATATGGAGAAATATTGAGATATCGAAATATCTATATTTGAATAGATTTTATCATTACATTTATTTATATTTATATTTGTATTTATTGTATCTTGTTTCGTATTTATATTTATATTTATATTTATTTTATTTTATTTCTTTAATAACAATTTCTTGTAGTATTTCATTATTCTCGAGAACCAAATTATTATTAAGAAAATAAAATTTTAGATGCCTTTTTTCAACTTCATTATTTATACATATCTCAGCATTGAATTATAGCAGCAATACGTATTTTCTTTTTTTTCTCCGATAGGATCACGATCGATACAGTGACACGGTGCAGGTTTAATCGCTATTGTTGCTCGTCGGAATAGCCGCGATCCTAAGAGTTCGACGTGTCAACAACAGGTGTCATCGAAATTAACATGTTTTATTACGGATTAGATTTCACGCATTTCACGCGATAAGGAGATCGTCTTTAAATAGCCTCCGATTAATTGCGAATAACTTCGGTGACCGACCAGGCTATAAAAACAAATATTCCGTTTGTTTTGGCTGTGTTTTTGTTGCTCCTGGCGAGAGCAACGGTATCGTTCGAACGTTTTGTTTCAGGTTCTCGATTACAGTTCTATATATAGATTTATTACCGTAGTATGTAGAAGCGATTACCGTCGAAGATATTTCGCACTAAAATTAAAAAGCGATAACCGCGGAGCTCCATACCGCTGGAGCACTCTGCTCGCGATTAGGCCGATGATTGAAGAAGCGTAGGTGTAATTATTACCGACGGATGATCGGTCGCTGAAGCGCGACGATAACTTGCAATTAACATTCTACAAACGCGGCGAGATCGTCGAGCGAGATTTCTTCGCGACGTCATCGTGTAATTGGTAGTGTAATTAGCTTGTACTGTAGTTTACTTTGGCGTGGCATTGAGCCTAGGCCTGATTAAACCCGCGATCCCGAGAATGTACACAATTACTTTCAATTACTATTCTTACATTCATTAGCGTCTCCATCCATCAGAGTCGAAGCACATACGTACACTCCCCTTAAAAAGTATTAGGACACCAGCTGATGTAGCATAAATTGTAATTTTTCATTCTGTGTAGGTAATATTGCGTAATCAGTTTATCTATTTATTTGATTTTGTTCATTGAAAATATACGATAAGTTCGTTTCGTACGATATGCTTTTTAAATATGTGGAACATACTACAAAATGCGCGGAACCAAATAGGATCAGAAATAATAGACAAACTAATAAAACGGATGCCAAAATTAGTCCAAGAAGTAATGAAAAGTCGTGGCGGAATATATCGTTGGAAAGAAAATTTCATTTTTTTAAATAAAATTGACGTTACTTTTATTGTAATGTAAAATATATGTACTTGTTACTGTTTAGTACAATCAACTTTGAAATAAATTGAAGAGATTATATTAAAAATTTCCTGTCGTTTTCTCAAATTTATTTAATCTTCACATTTATTCAATGAAACGCGAGAAGATATCTCTGCTCTGCCATTGAAACACTCGTGTGTCCCTTGACCAGTTCGGATAATAGAGAGGTTCTACCGTGTTTCTACCACACCTTGAAACAGCCCGCGCACAACAGACTCAACTGTAGCTATTCTGTCTGACCTAGTGCGTTCGAACGTGGTCGTTGAAAGCCCTTTTGTCTCGGGTCTGGATAACAGCCAAGTTCGATTACAAATTTATAACCATGCCGTGCCAGTAACTTAGTTTGCGAACGCGTCCCATTCACGGCTGCACACATGCTCATTAGACTTTTACGTCTGTCCGCGTCTCATCTGTAAAATGATTAATAGACCGCGGATTTTTTTTATGCATTCGTGACAAAAATGAGTATTTGTAATGTCAAACGGTAGAAAGAATAAAAACATTTAATACCGTCGATACATCGCTTTCGACCTACTAAAATTTGTAAGGAAAGTATGCGATCTTTGAGTTACTCTCATTTTTTGCGACAGGTGCAGCTATTTGCATACTAACGCAAAACAATTATAGCACAGAAGAATTTTTGAATAAAAATTGGTCCACTTCGATCGACGATAACGCCGCAAAAAAAATCATCGTAGGATGATGACTCTTCCTTTAAATCAAAGCTTGAAACCTCCATTCGAAGATAACATTTCTCGATGTTAAGTTTGACATACCCTTGCCAATGTAACCCTTCAAATGCGAGGCCATATTTATTGTGTTGAAAATTGCTAAATTCAACTAAACGCACGGACTTTGTGAAAAATTTTTTCCAAGACGCCGTTTACTGGAGAACGAAGTTCGATGCTTTTTCTTTAATCGAAAAAAAATAAGGAACGTGCCGAGCGATTATTTTTCGCAAAGTTACAGCACCATGAGGTAACCCTTGCACATCCGATAATACCAATGCCGGTGGTATATAACAAAATACATACATAGCAAAAATATATGTATATTTTAAGTGAAAATATTGTAAATTCTTTAAATTACCTTTTTCTGTTATTTCAAGCTTCGTTATTTTAACGAATTGATAATAATCCTTCTTCGGTTCGTGGTTTTTATTTAGAAACAATGAAGCGGAAAGCTCGAATAGAAATGGGCCAGCGATAAATCTCTCGACAATGTCGTTTGTTTGTCTGTACTCGATCGACGTAGCAGCATGTGTAAGTCAGAAGCTTTAATTCGAATTTGACCGAGCGTCTGCGTTCGTCGCGGAATCCGAAGCACGGGTCGATTATTCATCGGACGTAAAAGCGAAGAAAGTTGGTTTCAGTCCAAGCACGCTTCGTCGGTACGCGTGCAAATGTGCGACGGGGGTCAGAGGGCATGCTAGATCGCGGCCATTCTAGAAAAGTCATCGCATGGTCACGCATCCGTCCGAGGTTTGCACACGTGCGCTTAGGAAACGCTTGCATGCTGATCGAGAAACGGACGTATGCAGGCTAAGATTTGCAATCGTCGACGTTGCCAGTGTCCAATCGAACGTTCCCTAAGTATAGCTATTTTTGAGACCTAGTTTTTTTATTCTTACGAGCTTTCAATATCTAGCTTATAATTCTTGGGAGCTTCTGGAGTTGAATTCTTGGCTACTAGGCTACTCCGATTCTGTCCTTCTCGCGCTTCGGGAACTCAATACAGTTTTTACAATTTTTATCTCGTTCGATACTGGGCTACTCTAATTTCAGTCACTCGTCTGATATAGACAGTCTGACTCATTCCTGATTCACTTTTGGCCACTTTAAAAAATCGTAATCTACCGACCCGATTATCTCGCCAGTAAAAGTAAACTATCTTTTGATCAGATACGCCGAGAAGATAACGCTTAATCGTCTAATCGCGATCGACTTTTTGATTTTTCGGTGTGAAACCGCGGATTAGTTTTGCTTGTGACGCAGAACCGTCCCAAGGATTGGATTAATGAGGATACAAAAAGAGGAAGAAAAGAGAACACATAAATTTGTTTGATTTAAAATTAAACAATTTTTTTATTTCAGCTTTTTTTTTTGTTTTCGCTAATTTTTACGAAATACTTAAAAGAGGGTTAAGATAATGCGGTAGTGATTAAGACATTGTAACAGGAAGAGCTCTGTGACATCGCGATCTTAGCAATTATTGAATAAAACAATTTAAATTAGTTATTTTCATCGAGTCGGTAGTTCTACTGCGAATATGCCGACTTCTGATACTGCAATGTTTCTGAAGTCTCTATTCGAACGATCGATATTCACAATTTTTTGTTTAAAAAAAAGAAACGATTCTAATCAACCGATCGAAGACGTAGATATTTGGCGATACACTTTGTAGACTGCGTCGCTTTTCTTCGATTTTATCACTGAATTCGAGATGACACGTCCACGAAACAGTTCTAAAGATTCGCTACTCTTAAATCTTTTCTATCGTTTGCTTCGTAAACGGTCCAATAGACCTCGTCTTTCACCGACATGCAAGTTTCTTGTATCATCAACGATACAGTAACAATTCTCAGGGAACGAGAAGCTTTTAGATTAATGAAACACGCGATAAAAGCTCCCGCTAAACCTATTTTAAAGGTTTATTACCGTTTACAGATGAAAAATAGCAATGTGCTTATCCCACTACTAAATTTTCCCCAATCTCTTCCCAAATCCAAACAGGATCGCAGTTGAATTATTTTATATATTTTAACATAAATATATTTTAGTAAAACTATTGAGTAATTCAAAATGTAATAAGTCCACTGGTTTCCGTTTAATAACGTCTACATATGCATCTTTTCAGTGCCGGAGGTCTCGTAACTGCGGTAGCACCAGTAGTAATCAGCGGAAATGGCGTCTGGGTGGGATGGCCGGGGATGCATATGGAGAACCCTAATGAGCCGATTCCCGAGTCCGATCCTAACGATCGCACGCCGACAGCAGGCTTGTTGTCCCGCAAGGTAAGCCATCCTTCTTGGACTTCGATATTTTCATCGTTCATTGCATCCAAGCAGTGTAACAGTTATCAGTATCGGTGCTTGTCTCTGTGGTCTTATACTGTTAGGGAGCGTGTTATTTTATTAATTAAATATTTGGATTCAATACCGAACGCAGCCGCGTATATATACGCTCCGGTGATAGTGACCAGGAAAATTGAGCGTATATATACGCTTATGATGCAAATGGGTTAAGCTTGCCTTATGTCGCAACGATTGCCGGTTCACCGTGGTCTCAGAATCGCGTCGAACGCGATAATACGTTGATCCAAACGAATTCGAACGTGTCAGAATTTTTCAACGATTTTTCACGATTTTTCACAATTTCTCATGATTTTTCACGATTTTTCACATATCGGTTTCCTTAGATTCAACTCATTATAGCAATGTCTCTCTAATTGACGCTCAGATTGTCCACAGAAATGGACAATTTGGGAATAGCAGAATACGATCATTCGAGTCTTGCGGTTCGTTTCTTATAGTTACGAATTGTCAACAACTATAAAAGACGAGCTACAAATTATTAATATATTATTATTGCGTAAATGTATTAAGCATAAAAATTATGTTGCATAAATGTTATTATGCATAAAATATACGATTTGATATTGATATACGATTATTCATAACAATCGCCATCCTAATAAGCATTTTTTTGGGAAGAAATATATAC